GATAGTAATTATGGTAACGACGATAATGATAATAATCACAATAATGATATTGATTAACAATGATAATGATAACAATGGAGATGATAATAACGATAATGATAATAGTAATATTAAAAATAATGATATTAATAGTAATAATGTTAATATTAATGATAACACTAGAGATAACAATAATAATAATCATAATGATAATGATAATAATGATATTGGTGATAATGATAAAGAATAATGATACACATGATGATGATAATAATAAAAAAAATAATAGTAATGATAATAATAACAATAACAATTATTGTTATGATCGTAGCTATAATGAAGATAATAATCATCATTATTATTATCATCCTAATTATGATTATTATTATTATTGATATTATTATCATTATCACCATTATCGCTGTTAACATTATTGATAATCATTAATACTATTTCTATCATCATTATCATAATAAGTATTATCCTTTCATTATTACCACTATCATCACTAGCACAATCATCATCATCATCATCATCAATCATTATCATCATCATCATCATCATCATCATCATCATAATCATCATCATCATCATCATCATTATCATCATTATCATTATTATTATTATCATTATATTACTATTATCATTATTTTCATTATTATTATCATTATAATCCCTATTATAATTATTATTGTTATTGTTATCATTATTTTGATTTTTGTTAATATCATTATTATTATCATTTGTTTTACTATTTTTAATGTTATCATTGTTATAATTATCATAACTATTACTATCATTGTTATCATTATCATCATTATTGTTGATATTATTATTACTGTTATTATTATCATTATTTCCGTAGTTCATGATATCATTATCATTATCATCATTATTATAACTATAATTATAATAATTATCATTAGTATTATTATTAGTAGTAGTAATTATAATTGTCTTGTTTTCGTAATTGTTATATACATCCAATCTCCATGCAACCCATCGTAAACTTACACGCCATTTTCCAGGAAATGCTAAAGCACAATATTTCCAAACTGGCAACAGTATGACATATTCTTGGGATACAACACGCGAGTGCAAGATTCAGTTAAGTTCTGCATGTCGAAAGGAAGGGAGTTCACCGCTTCTCGTTGCGATTTGGCCGAAGGTAGGAAAAATCTGTTTTCATGATTTTGCTTGTGTGAATTAACCTTCCTTTACTCCATTTGTTTTGTTTGTTTGTCTTGTTTCTGTGTGATTTATTTGATAATAATTTTGAAATGGACATCAATATATATATGGAAAAAACGAAACTGATATGTGTATGTATGTATAGAAAAATATAAATATATATGGAAATATAAATATATATGGAAAAACGAAACTGATATATGTGTGTATGTGTGGAAAAATTAAGTAAAAGAGCTGATTATCCGTGCTATTAAATGTTTTCCGGTTGACGGTAATAATTATTATGATTCCAAGTGAGGAAACAAAAAAACAAACAAACAAAAAAAAAAAAGTAAACCTTGCGAAAAGTTAGTAAGAACGACTAACCGCAAAATTGGGCAGGAAATCATTAATTCAGTCTTGCTAACTGGTGATCTGCTTTTAGCGAAGTATCATCCGCAATTCTAGAAGATTGTAAACCGGTTCCCTGCCTGAAATGATTATTTTGCGCTATTTTTATGCATTGTCTCAGGGTCATTGTCGGGAGTTTCATACAGACTGTGACGCATATATATACACACAATGGCATGCACATATAAACACGGCAATACTGACCAACTTACCGGCCGACACACACACACACACACACACACACACACACACACACACACACACACACACACACACACACACACACACACACACACACACACACACACACACACAAACAAACAAACACACACACATACACACACACATACACACACACATACACACACACATACATACAAGCATACACACATAAACACACACACATACACCAAACAGTTAAAATGATGCAACTAAATACAGGATCTTTGCTACACACCCTTCCTCTCAAATGTACCTTCATTATACTAACAGTAATACTAACAATTTCGATAATGTAGATAACGACTATCATCGTGATAATAAAGACAATGAGTCCACAAAACTCCGAAGAGAAACAGCAAAGGTCTCTTATATGTTCTGGAATAGAGGTTATTATTGTTTGCAAGAACATTTTAAACTTAAGGTCATTTCTCTCACTTTTTACACATGGCTTTTTAAATCCTGTACATTTATTTATTTTGTTATCTCTCTCTCATTGTTTCTATCTGTCTCTCTATCTATCTCTGTCTGTCTTTCTGTCTCTATCTAATGATTTATCTTCTTTAACCAACTGATGCTTTAGGAGTATATATGCATCATGTGAAATATTCCTTTAGCATATGTAGTTCCTTTGTTTCACACCTTAATAGATTAAATTCAACGGCTTAGTAACTTCTATTCTAGTTAACCACTTATCGCCATTTCTTCGGTCATTGGTCGA